ATCATATATATATATGGTTGGCGGCGTCCGGTTTCGGATTTGCCTGTCACTGTGGCAAGCCACAGAACGCCTGTGTCTACAGAGGGACCATGGGTGGCTTGCGCTGCACCACACACAGCTCCAACCACAAACCCCATATGCAGTGTAAACCCGAAGGAATAAGACCGGGAGGCATGTGGATGGGAGCCACGTTTCATCAACGGAGCCGGTCCACACTCCTTCACAGGCAAACACAAGCACCCTGTAGTTGGGAATCAATCGCACACAAGGCGGTGGCTGGACCGTAGTCTGCTCCACACGGAGTGCATGGAACCACTCTTCGAGCTTAGCACGACCACAAGCACCGTGCACCCCGTCCCCTTCAGCAACGACCAACTGTCTCCTGAAGCCAGTATGGACGAGGTAGTAGGTGATAGACAGGTAGGCACCGTGTCAACATGCACATCAAGCGCAGCTACACCGGGGATATCAAACAACAGCCAACCACTTCAAATGACATTATCAAATAAAATATATCTGTTAAAGAATATGGCTATGCAGACATAACTCTACCCTAAATTAGCATATGAAGTAAGTTGGTTAGCAACGAATCCGCGATAAGTACAAAATGTCCAGAAGTTAATCAAAAATGCTACAAACGCGATAAAGTTAACGAAGATAATCACAATTAGCGTAAGCAACGTGGCCAGTTAATAGAAGATTAGTCAGGTAGGCAGAACAAACCAAATAGAGTGCAATGAAATTTATCCAGCTTAAAAAGACCTAGTATATATATATATATATATATATATATATATATATGTAAAGAATACGGCCAACAACACAATTGGCAGTGTCATGTCGTATGAACAAATATAATCCAACAATAATAAAAACATGGAGGGTAAAAAAGTGTAAAGTTGGAGTCACGGGGGCAGAGTCGCACAACATGTTCGCCACTGTTCACGGTTTCTGGACATGTCCGAAAGGGCTTCCAATACAGTGTATTCATAGTCTTTGAGTCCCAAATGGGAGAGCCAAGAGTGCCCGACTACGGCCAAATTTGAGGTCAACGCCTTCATCCTTTTGGCCCAAGTCATTCGCTGACCACCTTGACTTCGCTTCCAACCGACTTCTGTGCGCGCAAAAAGTGCACGGTGAGGCAAACGCTCAGAAGACACGCGAAGCACGTGCCTAAGCTACCGAAGTCTATGCAGTGAAATCATAAGGCTCAACGATCAGCCAAGTCTGTCCGACTTGAAAGTCCCCTGGTGGACATCCTCAGTACTAATGTGGTATTGCCACTGTACACCAGCAATGCTCTAAAGGCAGCAGTGATCAAAGACAGACAGCCTCTGAACGTCCTTTGCGCGAACAGGCCGTCTCGCAACCGTAGAGCAGGACCGTTCTCACCGTGGCATTGTAGACTCGGCCCTTCAAGGAGAGACTCAGGTTGTGGTGACGCCAGAGATGGCGGAGAAAGGCAAATGCAACCCGGTCCCTAAAGACGCGTAAAGAGACCTCATGCGTTAAACCGGTAGCGCATAGCTACCGAGGTAAAGGAACTTGTCTACCACTTCCAAAGATTGACCTGAAAGGGTAAGGGTGAGAGTAGATTCTAGCAAGTCCTGTACGAAGACATCACACTTCGAAGCGGCAACAGACATTCCAAACTGGGAAGCAGACACCGCCAATCTGCACAGCACATTTTGGGCGGTCTGTGAAGAATCGCAAATTACGGCGATGTCGTCTGCATACTCCAAATCGCGAATTCGCTCCCCCGAAGCAGTTCAATGCCGCTGGATCGGCAATGCTCCAGAGCGGTCTCCAGGATGTTATCAATAGCGAAATTGAACAGGAAGGGTGATGCAAGGTAGCCCTGTCTCACACCACTGGTGATACTAAAGGGCGGCGAAAGTCCACCGTACACCCGCACTCGGCCCGAGAGTAGATGGCTTGAAGAATGTTGACGTACTACTCAGGCATTCCACTTCTCAAGAGACAGCTCCAGAGAGCAGCTGGATCAAACGCGGATCGTATGTTAAAGAAGACAACGATCTTTGGCCGGCCGAACGTTTGACGATGCTCGTGCATTTGGCTGAGTGTGAAGATGTGATCGATACAACTGCGGCCAGAGCGGAACCCAGCTTGCTCTTCGCGTATGCTTTGTTCGCGTACCAAGTCGAGCCACCTTAAAGACAGGGCGGCGAGCACTTTAGATGCAACGCAGATGAGAGTATTCCCTCTAAGGTTAGCGTATTTTGTTCGTGCACCGTTCTTGAAAACGGGCACGACATAGGCTGGAGTCTAATCGGATGGGATTGCTTCGGTGGTTCATACCTTTTGGAGGAGGAAAGTTAGCTACCGAACAAGTGATGAACTTCCATATTTGAAAAAACCGGAAAGAGTTCGTTCCGGCTAGCTGCTTTGTAGCGCTTTAGGAGGCGAAGCTTATGAACAACCTCAGTCTCAGAAGGTGGGTGAAGCGTTCACATACCAGGAAGCAATACGGATTCCCGAATGAGGGGTCACCGGTGCTGCAGGCCAGACGAAGTGGTGCTCTAAGTGCTCAGCCCAACGCACAAGTCGATGTTGTTGGCAGTGGATTTGCTAGCCATCGATTTCGAAAAAAACCGCTTACAGTCGGTCATTTTCCGCCAGTAGATCGGATCAGGTGGAAAAGCTTTCGGAAATTCCCCGAGCTGGCCGCTTGCTCTATATCAATGACCCGTTGCGTCCACCAGGCCTCGCGATCCTCTCGGAGGAGCTGTTTGAGTTCAGCGCTAGTGGACCTTTGTAGTGAATGATACTCAACGCCAGCTGGAATTGCTTGACGAGCTTCAATAAGTTGGAGAGGTCGTGTAGAGATCCAGTGATTGGCAGAACTATTGGTGAAACCACAGACCAGGGTTGCAGAGTTGTCCACGGCGCTGCGCTTCAACGTCAGAGCATGAGTCGCTCTTGAGATTCGAAGCCAACGCATCCTGTAACGCGTTGAGAGTGCTTGAAGCAGAAAGTTTGGCCAAGTCAAACCGTATCCAGCGACGCCGTTGGGAGCCACCAAAACGTAAAACAATCTTGACACACACGTGCGCGTGATCCGAAGTGAAGTAAGTGCTGCAGATTGATTTGTAATCCTGTATGACAATGTGTTCAATCTGCGTCCATGGTTGGTTAGGTGACGAAGGCTTCCGGGTCGCGCGTTGGCGCCAGGATCGCTGAAAGCTAGTACTCGACAGGAAAATCCCGTGATCGGCGCAAAGTAGGCTATTACTGTTGCAACCCGGTACTAATAGAATGGACACATTGCGAGAATCCATGTAGTTGACCAAGTTGGGCTACAGGCCTGAAGTTGGACAACCGTACTATGTCAGCCCATGATGCCGAATGTGAACGCTTCTCTGGCTATGACGGAGTGTTCAATACAGTGATCGATAGCGGTTGATCGATGATCACTGTGGTTGGGGTACCTAGGATTGGTCTAATCCTAACTATTACCGTTATCTGTTCAGCGAGTGCCATTACCATGTTGACTACCGAGTTCATGCCCTTCAACTTCAAGTTTACCGACCTGCACGTTTAAGTCCCTTGCAAGCACCACGATGTCGGTACGGCGCATTTTTCGGATAGTTGACAGTAGAACTGGTTTTTAACGGACTTCGGGCTGCAGTCTGTGCGAGCACATGCTGCAACAACTAACAAGCAAGGTATGCTGGCTTTACGGTTGGAAAGTCGCACTGAGGTCTAAAGTCGGATCGCGCAGTCGACCGTTGAAAGGAATCAAGTCAAGTAGCGCGGCCTCAGCACGTGCGATCAATCCCGGCAAGACCAGAAGTTTCGGCGATTAGTTCATTCGCCTTCTGTTGAATAATCACCTCGGGTCGCAAAAGTTAGTGGTCAGTGACCGTACAGCTGGTCACATCGGCTTTGACAAAGCGTCTTATGAGTTCTTGTGGTATTTAATGAGGAACCAGGTGACCAGAAAAGAACACCCATGCTCTAGGATCCTGCTGCTGATTTCCCGCGACTGCGCTTTCATCTCGCCTGCGAACAGCCGAGACTTATTCACAGGTACCTTCGCAAGGTAGGCGCTCGCCAATCCGCAACCTAAAGACACGCCCGATGTCGTACAGGTCCGCCGAACCAACCAGTAGTCAGTTCAGTTCATAATAATCCGAATCGAACAATACAAAATGACGTTTCTGCTGTGCCCGGTAACAAGATACTGTTTTGTGCCTGGGTCTCCCAGCCGCGTCAAGAGAAACAAAACACACCGGCTCTGGAACACTAGCGTTCTATTCATTAGTCTGAGGCAAAAAGTACAACTAGATGTATATTTAAAAACGCAGCCGCCCACTCGATCGATCGCCTGGTCGACCGCACTAAGGCAGGCGAGTCCCTCCGCCTCATGTTTTAAGCCACCATCACAAGTACCACTAAGAATGTATCCAACATAAACTGTACGAAGATTCGCTGCAATCTGTTAGATCAGACCAAAGTCAAATGCGCACAGAAACGAAACAAATTGACTTGTTCGGGAAGGTAAGTGCGCAATTTCCCCAAGTAACCGTGTACCTTGTATCAGAACAGTCTCAGTTACAATCAGGCTAGTGCTTTTCTGTGTTGCAGAACATTTATTACTACAGCTTGTTTCATACCACTCACATGTCCCGTGATTCATTGAGATCGATAAATTCAACTTAGCACTCAACCGTGATTTGAACTGTAATCAGAGGGTTTTCAAACCCACGTCGGCCCGTGCAGTGTTTCGTAACTATACTTCTCGTCCGGTGCGTTGTGTTCTGAATCGCGTGGCGCAATTCAAGGAGCTGATAAATCGAACCCTTGAGGACACAACACAATCAATTTGTCATTAGTGACTGAACGAGGTACGTGACGCTTTCGGTACCAAAGAATGGGGTTACTTGCAGTAACAGCGAGATAAGTAGGGTAAAAACGACGCGGTTAAAAGCGTTGGCAAAGCTACACTGCAGCGAGGACAACTGAATGAGCGAACGTACATCAGTTGCATTCGGGCAAAAGAGGACGGCAGTGGTGGCGTTGTAAAAAATGCCCGGATTCAGGGGATTCAGATGGACCAATGCTTTGAAAACCTGATGGGCGAAATGAAGAAGAAAGGGAGGGGTTGACAAATCAGGAATATGAATGGGTACAAATTCGGTGGAGCGAGTAGCCACAATAGGGGGTGGAGTAAACACAATTGTCGACCAACGTATTACGAGGATGGACGGAAGTAGACATGAGTAGAGAAATGACCAAGATCGTCTATGGTGAGTGGAGCGAACGGACATCAGTGAACAGCTAGCCGGTAGGATTTTATCAATGTTTCTGTCAGTAGACCGAAAAGTTGACTCAACATGGCTCAGACGGGGTGCAACGAGATCACAAAAGGAGAAGGAACTGGAGCAAAAGGGAAAGTCAGTAATTAAAGTGAATTTCCAACTAAAGGTTGGTAACAATAGTGTAAGGGAGAATATGTGTTGGCCACGGATCAGTGCAAAGTCCCATAAAATGTAAAGAACAATTCCACAAATAACAAATCCCAGATGACCACATAATAGTGGCAACCTAGAACAGGGACTAAGGCTTCCGAGACAGATGAGGTATAGGTCCCAACTGGAGTTGCCACCGAACATGCGCTTAGGACAAAGCAACCAAAGCGTACATGAATCACAGCAGAAATTCAGGAAGTTGCGCAAATAGCGTGTGTAACGCAGCATAAAGTACTCTTAATAAGCAGCGAGATAAGATCCTGCTGTCTCTAAAAATGGTGAAGCTCTGAAATGTCACATGAACCTTCATGTTAATAGTAATGACCTCCAGTGATCATACCGCAAGGGATACCACAGCATACTAAATATGCGAACAAATGGACAACTTCGAGCAGAGTTCCATAGTGGTGAGGTCTGATGTTATGACAAACAAGTCCCGTGCTGACATATTGCAGGTTGATGCTGCCCAAAAATCGTCAAAGCACGTCAGGAGAGTGATAGGCGTGCGGGCGCACACAAGAGAACAGACACGATCCAGGCAGGTACGCTAGACCAGTTCCGCTAAGTGATTAAACGCGGATCCTAACACCGGTCTGCGTCATGTCACGCACCGCCAATGTGACGAGAGAGAAAGAAAAAAGGTGGAAAAAGAGAAAATTGGGACACAATACGTTCAGAAGGCAGCTACAAAGATTAAAGAAATAAAGCTGAAGTGAAGCGAATTACAAAAGAAGCAAAGCGGCATGCCGGAGCACCCTGACTTCACAACTGCGCCATAACAGCTATAGTATCCAAGCTCCAAATTATCTGAACTCGACACTTCAGTTAAGGGAGGTGGCATGCGTATGTGCGATCGAATTTGCCACATCTCCATACTAGAGCATCCTGAAATGTGCTTCGGTTGGATCCACCACCCACAAAACGTACATGCTAAGGTAGGTGATGAACATGCCTACAAATTTGGTGGCGGGGCCTTTAAATCGACCGTTGCTTTATTCGCCGAACATCATTTTTACATCATCGACTGTATATATGTCAGTATTGCAACATTACACCGACAGGTATTTTGTTAAATCAACTTCCAAAGTCACTGCAACCCTTTACTCTATCCAACCTTGAATATGCACACAAAATATATCGCGTACAATCCCCGATATAATGTTGCTGGACACAAAATTCAACGTCAGTTGAAACGAATTCTGAAGAAACATTTTTAGGAAAGCTTTTCCGTTTTCAATGGATACAAATCACGAAGATTTAGTCCAACTTTTTGGGATCGTTGCTTGATTGATCTATGACAGTGCATCCGCATTTTTATATTCATTTGTAAACTTTGCATTTTACTGGTAACCCTCTTGTAAATATATAGTTGTAAATGCACCTTTTTGGGTACATAAAACTTATATTGACTTGACTTGAAATGATGTAACCAAGGTAGCGCAGAGGGTTAAAGTGAGAATAAATGTCCAGTGTTACATTAGACCTGCCGTTGAACAGATGCCGATGGTTATTGTTGTAAAGCTGCCTTCGTATTGCTGCAATGCTGCTATTCTGCGCCTGCGACACTACGACCGCCTGATTGCTCAGTCACGCGCCCAACCAAGCGACGGGATTCAGAAGGCCAAGGCTCGGTAAACAGGGAGTCTATTCTACACGATAGGTCAGTTCTATTGGTGAACGAAACATACTAATTTTGGAAGCGTTTGACTCTCAGCCCATGTGAAATAATGCCGTCCCGAAGGATTTTCCATATTTGGCAGAATGGTTCGCCTCCGTTGACTCGGGCTTGTATTAGCTGGTCAATCAGTTTGTACTCGACTGTCAAATTTGGCAAAACAGTCGAAGGTCGTTCCACGCACGTGTTGGTGACCTTCGCATGCAGCAGACAGCTCACATGCTCCTCGGTAAGCCTGTGCGCGACCTCGTATCTGGACATTGGCTCCGCTTACCTCTCTATTAGTTATGTATAACCATCGGTGATATTTTGACCCTGAAGTACAACAGCAAGTTACGCTGACATGGTGCGAAGCACATCTTGAGGCATGACAAAGCTATACTTGTACAGAGGCTGGATTCGACCAGAAGATATCAATCATACTCGCCCACAATTTCTAATCCTGTCAGTAGTTTACCTGGCATAACCTGTCACACAGAAAAAACTGCAATAAGAATCAATGGATAAGCTTTCCATGTGAGACTCAGGAGATGAGGGTTTGTCGTAGACACGGATCGGTTCGGTTCGGTGGAATAACTGTAATATGGGCATGGAAGTGTTGCGGATCCAGGGGCCAGAAATCACGTCGCTAGAATAACAATAAGTAACAGCGGTAAAAGATGAGGTTGCATGCACATAAAATGTGATACAAAAGAAAGGTTAAAATAAACAGGATGGAGTGAAAATTAAGGGCCAGATGCAAGAACCTGAATACAGGATCGCCACTGACTGCGCCATACCCGACAGAGTCTCCAACCACTGAGGTGCACCATTTCGGTTATTTAATCCGAAAAAAACCGTACACATCAGCACGAACCAGTCTCCAGTCAATTGCTTCATACCTCGTTGTCACGTCATGAACTGAGCATCTCGCGGTTTCGCCCAACTTAGTGCGGCCACGGTGATACTGCACGCTGAAGAAAACGATCAACGGTCATACGGATGTCATGAGGTAGCCAACGTAAGCGGCTAAGCTTAGGCAAAAGCTGGTGAGAGGTACAAGTAAGCTTAGTTGCCCAAAACCAGCCGGCGGACATCAGCATTGCTAACCCGGCGTTCACACTGAATGTGAGCAACGCTCAGTAAGCGCCGGCCAAGTGTATGATGTCTTCAGTGCAAACCGGCCGGTAATACCGGTCTTATCGTAGTGTCATTTACTCTATCTTTCACTGACAGAGTGATATTCCGCCGAATTCATAGACAGTTGAGACTCTGTTAAGCTACACGGGCCATGCTGATACGCGAAGTGACCTCCTCAGTGAGGTGACTATTAGAGATGACACAACTACCAAGGTGCATGAGCCCAACCAAAACTTCTGGTGGTGTATCGGCCCAGTCCTGCAACAGTACTTTGAAATTGGAGCAAATTACATGTCGAAGCGTGCAGCGCTACGCACCAGTCTATTAAGCAGCGTTTGCATAGCCACTGCGCCGGACTCAAGGGGAGCTATGTCGTCTGCACACTCAAGCTCTTTATCAGTCGGTCAGGGTCGTGTCCCAGTAAGCGCACTAGGCCCACCCGCAATCTGACCTCAGCAGTAGTATCCCGGACATGCATGAACGGTAACCAGAACAAAATCATGACGCGCTTGCAACTGTGTATTCTGGTTAATGACTTATATCTTTACAGTCGACAGACGTTTGACTAATCAGTTGCGAACTGGGCGTGATAAAATGCATCAATTTTAAAAAATAATAGTTGCTGGAATTTTTCGCTGAAAAGACACGAGCACTGTTAACAGTATGTGCAGCATAATCCCACTGTGAATTCTAGATTGTGGACCATCCAAATATAGTATTTAGTGTTTGTTTACAGGTTAATACCCCGAGTTTCCGAAGGAATGTATACACGGTGTCGAATGATAGCAAGTTTGCACGGTGCATGATCCGTAGTTTTAGATTCGTATTTTTTAAACATCCACATGGCGTCTTGATTTGGATGATGCAATACAAGACGCTAGGAGTGCAACGATTACGCACCGGGATCAAGGCTGACAAACCGAACTAAGTCCGAAAAAGATTAAAAAACAGATCACGGTGATACCGGTACTCTAGTGGATATTATCGTCGATTTGTGAGCCAGCGAAACCTGTGATCTAAAGTGCACTACTGATTCAGTGGGTAGAACTGAACGCGATTGATTCAGCTCGCGCATCCTCAGACACGTAGCACAATCACTTGGAAGAGGACATAACGGGAAAACCAAACAAGCGGATACATCTGCATACCATTAGGCAATAATAAACGCAAAAAGACTAAAGGTAACAACACCGATTTCTTACTCCATTGGCAAACATAAGGTCATCAGTATTAATCGTAATGGATACACGATTGTGTGCATAAAACAGAGGGGATTCCAATGTCACTTGTCTAGTTTGTGCGAAAGCATACAGTTAAGACCGAAGTGATCACCATTTAAACCGTAGTAGATGACGGGACCAGTTGGAGCTGTGGACTACAAGTTTGTCCTGCACGGGAAAAACAGCCGATCCTACGGGAATCAGGTGCTATGTGTGCCTGTGATCAAATGTGTTTCGACCCGACATATGTGCCCACATGGCGACCTCAGGAGGTTGAAAAGAAAATCGGTCCACAACACATTATTTCTATCCTACAATAACTGCATAGATCACTGAAATGGTCAGTAGGAGATGAAGATATTAGGAAATAGATAATCGTTGACTTTTAGTGTTTATGAAACTATGGAGGAGATACCAAGTTGGAAGATAGGATACACAAATCGAATGGCGTAAAGCTAGGTGGCCTTGCGTATGTAAAACGCCTAGGTTGGATTAGTCAAGTTACCCGTGCGAATACCGAAGTAGGTCGCATGCTCACAGAGTGCAGTCGGAAAAAGCCAGAGTGACGAAGTGTAAGAATATGCAGGAGCTGTTTGGAAATGTGTATGCAGCCTTGCTGGAGGTCCGCCTGGAGAACAACCATTGTGCTGTGAGCTGCATGGAGTGGTCAGTGAATTGAGCTCGTTTCAGCGTTCCATACGATTGCAACTCAGTTCTTATTGGATGTTTTGAACACTTCTCCGCTGAGTTTCACATGTGATGGGCACAACAGCCACATCGTCAGTGCTCCGACATGATTCCTGAAAAGACATTTTGTTGTGTGTTTACCTATTCATTTGATGATGATACACATCTTCGAATTTCTGTTATGAAAAAAGCCTTGGCCGTTTGTATACCATCACACATATGCTTCAAAGTTTTATTTATCAGTTTCACTGCGTTACAGGATGTGGTCACTGGATTCACAGTATAGATGCTTCGATACTGGTCACTTAAATGTACCAAGAAAGCTAAAGCACGCGCGCTACACAATGCGATTGGTAGAAATCGAGCAACCCGATCCGTTAGCCAATGAATTTGCCAACTGAAGTCGATGGTCAGTGAGCCGGCGGATCTCAGTGGCCTAGTGATCATGGCGTTAGCTTTTAGCCAATCATGTGACGAACTCCACTCCCAGCTCACGCTATCTCTACCTGATGAGTCCAAACAAGGACGAAACGCATTATGAAGTGCAGCCCAATGGGCATCATGAAAGACTGTCCAGATGAGACATGCGAGTTGTAATTATGAAAACATTCTACGACAACTCACCGCATCCAGCCTGGAAAAATTTACTGGTGCCACAAGTGGAGAGCTGTGGGCGCGTTCAAACAGTTCGGCAATTTGATCGGCCAACGAAGTGGTTTCATCCATCGGTGGAATCGGCGGAGTAAACACTCTACCTTTCTTCATTCTTTGTAGACAGGCTTCAAGGAGGTCACGAGCAACAATGGGGAGAGGTTGTGTGTTAGGATGTTTGGGATTAGTGTGGTGAAAAATCCATAATATCCAATCGATGTGGTTCGCAAGCTCTGTCTTCGACGCATTGGACTCTCGAGCGAGTGCATCAGCGACTATTGATTCGCCGTAGAGACGGGTTGTTCGGGCTCTCTCTCCGACAATCGCAGTAAACTAAAAAGAAGCAATGGAGGTGATAAAAGTGTTGCTTCATGACAGAGCATCACATATCGTGTGGGAAGTGAGAGTAAAGTGGGTGAACCGAATAGATGGAGATCCAGATAGCCAGTTGCTGAAAGCATTATCGCGCCCCCAGAGTAAGGTGATAAAATAGTCGGCAGCAGTTCAGAAGGCTGCCATTCCTTTCGGATAATTTATCTATGCTAGCCAAATGTGAGCCATCCATCGCAAAGGAACAGGGCACATGAGACGTGACCCTGTGAGAGAAATGGATCAACATGGCGTAATGATCAAGCATAAATTCCCAGCGAGACAAGAAGGTCGTTTGTCGAGTGTTCCAGTCTGGGATCTACTACGTTCTTACTAAATGGAGTTGATGTTATCAGACGACTCATAAGCAGTAGAGAGAATGACTTTGAGACCTCGATGGTCTGCTATAGTTGTGAGACGTGAATATAAAAATGGCATTAACTTTAGTAGCATACGACGAAACGAATGACACTGTATGGACACAAAAGCTATTTTCCAAAGAGATAAATAATCCACACAGACAATCGTTTCGTATCAGTTAACGCATTTTCAAGGAAGTTCTCACAAAAAGGTAAAGAATAAGATAACACGTATCTAGCACCAGCTGGGAGTGAAGGAATGGGGAGATAAGGGACCGATTGACGAATCCGAGATTTACCAATATTTGGGTGAAGACACCAAGCACATGAAAATGGAACCAACTATCTTGCTTCACCACATACTTTTAAGACAACGCTCAACACATCTATTAGCGTAAGCACAATAGTTCCATTTCTAATTTCATCAAATGTGGACATGCTTTGTGAGCAAGATGTATGCCGCGTGCAGGCCAATAGTCGGCTCTAATATCGCTTCTTCAAACTGGATTAAAGGTGATCTCCTGGAGTAAAACCATAACATGAACTTATCTTGAAAGCATTTATTGATGCGCCGACTACCGTAGAGGATAATCAACGGTGCCATATATGCTACATCCATCATGCTGGATAGGGGTGAGGGTGCGACTGCTCAAGCCTTCGCGTCTCCTTATTCCCCTACGCTTTTTCACCCTTATCGTCCCCTTCATACTTCCCTTTAATCCGCCCAGGTTTCAACCCCCAATTATTGACTTCCCCCAGCTTGCATTGATAGGCGTTGATTTCCTGGTTTCAATTTACAGACAAACGCGGAGTGTCACTCCGCTCCTGTCGATAAGTCCACGTCCAACCAACCACTATCGGCTTCCATTCGGAACCCTCGATCCTGCTCAGATTGGCATGCCTCAATATACGCAGACGGTCACAGATCGGTCAAAAGGCAGCACTTGGTCGAATATTAGAGACCTATATCTGCTGCTTATCGGAAACCCACCTGCAAGACTCGAGATCTGTGGTTGCTTTGCGAGACAATGTAGTTGACACTAGCAGTGCTTTCTCAGTGCGCCTATCCGGAGACAATGCAGCCACCGGCCAAGCCGGTGTTGGTATTGCCCTGAGTACGCGGGCTGAGGCTGCTCTGGTTGACTGGATGCCAAACAACAGCCGCAAGTGTGCAGTCCGACTGGTTGGCTCGTTCAAAGCTTCGAAGTTGCGCGTGGACATACGGTGGCTGTTTGATATTACGGCCTACGTCCCCACAAATGATAGCATCGATCACACTGCGAGCAGTCACCGATGGAGAGATTGCATCCGAAACAGTCGCGCGCTTTAGGGCACATGTGTGAATGACCATGCACTTGTATGTGCTGATCTGCGGGTGCGATTTGGTTGTCGCTCTCGACCACACTGTGAGCGTATAGACACCAACCAACTACTGAAACCAGATGTTCAGAATGTGTATGGAAGTACGTTGGCATTCGCGTTGAGTAAGCATTCACTCAACGCATGGTCATCAGACCTTACTAGCAGCACGCAATCCCTCATGTGGTAAATCTAACAGCCAACATGGACATCGGGACTCTTCGCAGTCTCTGGAACTTAGCGATGCTCGCTGGCAAACTCCGCCTGGAAACGAACACAATGAGACTCACAAATACCTCAGGGCAAAACACCATCCTGGCCTGAATAGAAACCACGAATCCTGTGGTCTCACCGTGCGTCAGAGATGGAAGTGGCTGCTGCCATCGGTAAACATCGAAAGTTATTCCCTCTGATATGAGAAACGAGCAGCAGAAGACCTGGTGTAAGTGAAACTATATACGACGAGAGTGAACAGTCGATGCACAACCTGGCAAAATGGTCGGAGCATTAGGTTGAACACTTCGACCATTAGTTCAATGGACCAGTGATCGCCCTACTCCCTAGGCTGTCCCTTTGGGAATAGGCCTTCTCGCTCAGAAGTCGAACGTAAGATCAAACTGCTGAAGGTGAATAAGGCTGCGGGACCAGGTGACTTTCATCGAACTCTTTTCAAATCCGGAGGACCTGCTCTTGCTGATGATTTACACGAGTTACTAGTAAAACGCTGGGAACAGGAAGCTAACTGACTGAAGCTGCTTCGTTTCTTGAGTCGATCTTCAACGGGTATAATCATGGAGGAATCAGTCTGATTTCTATCGCCTTCAACGTCCTTGCGTCGGTCGTTCTCCACAGACTGACAGGCATCAGTGGAAGCCAGATTCGCGTAGAACAAATCAGGTTTCGTTGAGGTCAGTGGCTGCATCGATCAGATATTCATTTGCGTCATTTGATGAGATCCCGTCACATGTAATGACCGCTCACGGTAGTCGTGATCCTGAACATCAAAGGAGTCTTTGATTCGGTAGATCGACGTGCCCTTTGGAACTGTCTACTCGGGAAAGGTGTGCACGATATATATATATATATATATATATATATATATATATATATAATATATATAAGAGCAAGCTGTCACGCTCCTTCAATATCTCCGGCGGTGAAAGACAAGGATGCCCGCTATCACCTTTCCTTTTCAATTTCGTTATTGAGGAATTCCTAGAATTGCGTTCACTGCACACGACTAAGATGTGAGGCTGCTCCCAGATGAACGACTTCTTGACTTGGAGCATGCTAACGACATTGCCCTCCTCCGTGACAACACCATAAGATACCACGCGGCACTGGACAGATTAGCATTGGCTGTCAACCGTTTCGGGATATGTTTAGCACCCTCAAAATTCAAAGCTTCCCTCCAAGATTGGCATGGACCGCCTCTTGCGCTAACCCTTGGTGGAGAGCAGTTGGAATTCGTTCAAAAGTTCGACTACCTACATAGCTGTATCAGTGCGGTTGAAAATGAAGAGGTTACGAATCGTTATAGCAAAAGCTCTAGGCGCTTTGCTAACCTTCGTCATCTGTCGCACCGACGCGACATCACTCTCTCCCTAAAGGGTAGAGTGCACAATGCAGCCGTACGTTCAACCCTACTGTACGATTGTGAAACCTGGCCCATTAGATCGGCAGACGTAAAGAGAGTAGCGATGTTTGACCACCGGTGCATTCGCAGTCTGGATCATATCTGGTGGAAACACCGTGTGAGCAATGTGCATGTTCGACGTCGTGTATCTGGTGCAGGAAGAGGAATGGAACCGCTCAACATCGTTACTCCACGAACCAGGCTCCGATGGTTCGGCGAAGTGTTGCGCATGCAAACATCCCGACTCCCGCGACGTGCATTGTTTACGCGCCAAGACTGTGGATGGAAGAAGAAGAGGGAGGCCAAACGATTACCTAGTCAAGAGGAATGAAGGTCCTTAGTTCAAAGTGGGCCTCAGTTGGAGCAGTTCCGCGCCATAGTTGGGATCATAAAGACGACACACGTGTTACTATGGCTAGGAACGGACCTCAGTCGCGTTTGTGTTGTGAGCTTCTTTGTCTCTCACCCTCCCGCTTAGCCTTCGCTCCAACCACAATTACATTTCCTACGCACAATATAACTCTTGTGGAGCTATTGCCGGCTGCCAACTCTGCAGAACGATGCCCACTCGTCACTCGTGATACAGCCGGCGTGTCTTTGCTACATTATTTATTTATTTGCTTAAGTATTGCGATACAATAGCCGAGGTGTTTTCCACCTGCAACTAAGGTATATACTGATGAAGATGACATCGCCTAATGAATTCTTTTAGCCCCTACCTTGGCACTCCCAAGCAATGTTTGATCAATAAACACGATGGTTATTCAAATCCAACTTTGAATCCCTTACCACTGTGCCAAGCATTGCTCATGGATCCAAGTGGCATAGTGATTAAGGCGTCAGCCATTAACCACTAGGCTCTGAGTTCCACCCCAGCTCAGGCTATCTCCATCTGATGAGTCGAAACCAGGACGAAACCGCGGTCGTGGGGTGTCAGCGTTGGGAGGAGCAACACCTAAGCACATCCATTTCGGATAAGGTCCCTGTGGCCAGAATGACTGAGGTCTACTTCAAAGTGAACCGAGGTATCAGCAGAGATTATGCGTCTCAATCCAACCACAGGGCGAGTACGCCAAATCCACCTTGAAATGTGCAATTCACTTTTAGAAAAGAAAAAATGACTGTGGAAGGTAAATAAACCGTACTGCAACGTATGCAGATTTCATCAAGCCTCATCGGATCCCAGTCAAATAGCAATGGAGCAGTAACCCTGTTCTTTAACACCACTTACTATCCTCTAACTCGGTTACAAATAGTCCCAAATTTCGCAACTATGTGGAAACAGAAAAAATAAGGAACACTTGAAATCCGATACTTTTTCACCAGAGTAAGCCTACGTCGAAGCTTGCATGCCATTATGATTGCTAAGGAGAAGAACACTGGTCCCTCAACTTTCGAAATGTGGTATGTAAAATTCTCTATTCTTCATGTTTAAGTTTGAATCACTGATCCGTTCAGCAGCACCTGAAGGCTGAGAATGATGCGCAAATCGAGAATTTAGCCACGTCAATTGTGCGTTGCGTTATCTACCAGCGCACAGCCAAAACTTATGATGATAGGGTATGCGTTTATAGGGTCGTGCTACATATTCAACATTTGACTGGGAACGC